TTTGATGCAAGATAGAAGAAATTATTTTTCCACAATTAAAAAGTGAGCAAGCACCAGAATCGAAAATAACCTACACGGATGTGGCTGCAGATTCAGAGAAACAGTGTTAACAAGGTAGATGGTGGACAGTTGCCCCTAAAAGCCTCAGTAAGTCATTGAGATACCTAAGCATGCTTCAGACTGGCCTCCAGATCAGATATCTTCTAGCTTTCAACTAAACTTCATGTTTATTTCTTCTAGGTAGTGGGAGACAGAGGTTATAAGAAAAGAAAAATGGTCTAAACTGACTATGCAGTGAAATGAAAAAGAAGGCAGCTTTCCAAGTTCTGAGTAGGGATGAAAAATTGGAAAGAAATCAGCAAAAAGAAGTCATAAAATATGGAAATCTGGGAGTTACAGTTGATACTGAGTATAAGCTTAGACAGAAGGCTGAGGTTGACAAGTCCAAGGTCAGAAAAGCAGAATGTGGGATAGTTATAAGGCAGGCAGAGTGAGAAAAATAGCAGGGTTGTAAGTCTTAGTTTATACAATATGTGAGTAGAGCTTAAATATAATATGAACAGTCAGGAAGACTGAATTCATCTCTGGAATTTACTGTTTCATTTCTTGGTTGCTGATCTTTCATTTCCTAGAAGATTGCCATTATTATATCCTGATATTATTATATGCTGATAATCTGCTGCATTTAAAGTTTATCTGCATGTAACTACAGGAGATTGAAGAGGATCTGAGTGTTCCCAAGGGGCAAGTAGACTTCAAACAACAGGCAGATGCCAATTTATTTACTTAGGAAGGGAAGTAATCTGTCCCATGTATTGTGAATTCACATATCAGCATTTTGGTAAGCACGGATGGTTGACAGATAATGTACAATTGAGATTTCAAAAGGAATCTTACCTTACTTCAGAGATGTTTTTCTTGACTACAAAAGAAGTGGAAAAAAATATTTTTTATTGGGTCTGTGTGCAAATCATTTGGTGTCAAGGTAAGATGCCAATAGGCTTATTCTGGTCATTTTATTTTTTGGTTATTTTGTTTTCTTTTGTTTTTGCTTTGAATCATGGGCTTCTACTCTATATTTCTACAGGTTCTATATATCATTCACATTTTTGTAGAAAAAAACCAGTCTATAAATGATTCATCAGTTCTGAGGCATAATAATAAGATTATGAGTTTTTAAAATCAGAACTAGAATAAATTCTATTTTTCTTAAATTACATATTTTATTAATGTAATTTTTAAAAATTTTTTACCATATTTCATTTAACTGAATCTTAACCCATACTTATTTACCTCTTGGGGATGAGAGCCTAAAATCAAATTAATATGTTAATATTAGAGTTGATTTTCTGAAGAGACCCAGCCTGTGACATCAATGACATGGTTGGGAATAGGTTAGTAAGAACAGGAACCATGCTAGTCGATAGCAGCCTAAGGCCTAAATTCTGTAACAATATCTCGCATGGTATTCTAGCATTGT